CTGACTTCATTCTGTCTGTGTTCAGATCACACACACACACACACACACACACACACACACTTGTATTCTCTCTGTTCTGATTTCCGCATGTTCATCATTTAGTGCTGTTTCTGGAGTGTGTTCAGGGTCAGGACAGCGCTCACCTGTGTGTGTGTATCAGGAGTGTAAATGAGTGTTTGTTGTGTTCAGGCTTGCGACAGGACTTCGCCTCCTCCTCCTCCTCCTCCTCCTCTAATAACCACCGCCGCTTCCAGTGTGGGAATCACAGCGCTTCACATGATGATGAGGATGAAGATGATGAGGATGATGATGAAGAGTACGCTCAGCTGCCTCCTCCACAGCCACGTCTGCAGCAGCGCAGCCTCCCGCATTCACACACATTCAGCAACATCAGAGAGTGGAGACGCAGCAGCAGCGCAGCCCTGCAGACACACACACACTCACAGAGCAGCAGCGCAGGTCAGACCACAACACACACACACACACACACACACACTCTCTCACTTTCAGTCTAACTAATATAATGTCTATGAGTGTTTCATTAAAGGGCGCCTATTATGTCGAAATCACTGTTATAATGAGTTTATAGTCAGCAGTGTGTGTGTGTGTGTGTGTGTGTGTGTGTGTGTGTGCTGCGCTCGTGCCATGCAGAGGGGCTGATGGGTAAAGCTCTGTGATGTTTAGCTGAATGCCAGGAGTCTCTAAGCATCTTAATATCAATATAAACACACACACACACACACACACACACACACACACACACAGCTCAATCCTCTTAAAGTGCAGCAGATGTAATTGGGCTGAAATCTGGTGTTCAGCATGTTTCCGTGTGGAGTGTGTGATTGGCTTTTCTGACAGGAAGTGTGTGTGTGTGTGTGTGTGTGTGTGTGTGTATGTGTGTGTGTGTGTGTTTGTGTGTGTGTGTGTGTGTGTGTGCAGATTCGCTGAGGAGGAGTATGCCGGACCTGCTGACCGCTGTGAGTCTGACTCCAGCACTGAACTCTGTGTCCATCAGGAGCAGCCAGAGCTTCGAGTCCTCCAGCGCTCTGATGAGGACCTGCAGTACGTCACACACACACACACACACACACACACACATTAACGCAAAAAGGAAGTGCTATAAATGAAAATAGGAGTAGTGTAAACAAACATATTAAACATAGAGGTATAACACAGAGTCTGCTGCATGAGGACAGGAGGAGTAGTGTAGTCCCTACAGGTGGTTTGCCAAGCCCACTCACCTGCACACTCACATATCCTACCATTATGTGCTGCAATGTGTGTGTGCGTCACTAAACAGATAGGTGTTTAATCTAGTGTTGAGCCTCGGACATTATCAGGAAGGCTATTCCAGAGTTTAGGAGCCATAAAGGAGAAGGCCCGACCTCCTTTAGTGGACTCTGCTATTCTGGATACCAGCAGAAGCCCTGAGTTCTGAGATCTTAAGAGTGTGTGTGTTAGACTTTGATTATGTGTGTGTGTGTGTGTGTGTGAGTCCGATATAACAACCGACAATAACATACACGCGCGCGCGCGCACTCACCAGGTCTCCTCGGACTGCGCGCTCGGGCTCAGGGTCTCCAGATCCAGCAGCATCAGCTCTTCATCATCATCATCCTCCTCCTCTTCATCTTCCTCCGCGGCGGAATGCGGCCGGAAGTACGGGAACGGCTCGTCCTCCGGGGAGCACCGGCAGGCTCGGCTCGGTGGTGCGGTGATTGCGCGCGCCCGCAGCTGCTCGTTCTGGAGCTCCAGTTTCCGCACGAGCTCCTGCAGCTTCTGCAGCTCCAGCTCCGCCATCACCGCCGCCTCCATCCGCCACACACACACGCCCGGTGCAGATTACCGAGCAGAGAGCGCGTGTGTGACCGGCGGCTGAACGGCGCTTCACGGACACGAGATACGCTCGACCAATCAGAGACGAGCAGCGCGAGACACTCTCTCACACACACACTCTTGGAGATTACACCCAAACCACATTATAGACACACTCATATATA